CTGTAAGAAATGACATTAAAATTAGGGAATTAAAATTAGATTAATATTGTGGTTAAAATATCAGAGACACAGTATTTTAACCCTCACATCATATTATCAAAGGCAAATAGACATAGTATTTTGATGTCCTATCTAGGAACCTGGGATCATCATTAAAATTTACTATTTGTACTTTAAAATTAATCCATTGATAAAAACTTTATAATTCGATTATTATACATAAAATTCCATGTCCTAACAACAACAGAAGACTAAAATAAACCTTTCTTTCCTATTTCTTCTTCCACCTCCCACAACAATAACTGATATGAGTTTATCAACCCTTCAAAAGCTGTCAGTATGCTTTACAGAGAGCCTCTATTTCCAGATTCTACCTCTCTATCAGGAATGAAAGATTACACTTTTGCAAGTCATTTTACAGACAGAAATAGGACTGACTGCTCCTTAAAGTCAGAAATAGGGAGACCAATGCTTACAATCCTTACAGTTTAGAGATATTAATTAAACCCCCAGTCTCTAGTTACATGTCTACTATTATATTCCTTTGCAAGCTACAGATTTTGCATAAAATAAAGATAAGTCAAAAGTACAAATCCCTAATACCAAGACTGTAACAGCTATGTACTTGCTCTGTGCCTGTTGGGTACAGTCAGTACCAAGAAAAAAGGCTCAGTCCCACCATGTAAAAAGGTAGAAAAGTATTATTTATGACAATTATTACGGTGACCAGATATTGCAGATATGCTCCACAAAAACTGTAAACCTTGAGGACTAAACAGGCAAATCCTACATCTATCTGCACTCTACAGAATTTATATTAGAGTATACTAAATGACAGAATAAGGATTTCAAGTGCACCAGCAACGTAGCAAAACAGAAGGTATAACTGTAAAAAATGCAAATGTCATGGGAAAAAATAGTTCTTTAAAAAAGTAAAAATAAAAGAAGCCTTATATCATAACTTAATAACACAAAGTTGTGATGATAAATCCTATCACATTATTGAGCTTAAGCCTACCTAAATTACAAAGGAAGGGGAAAGGCCTCCTACCTGTCACTCTCCTGACTCACTTGTAAGTGGGAACATGCATTTTGGCCTTTTATTCTCTTACAGCTAGTAGTAAAGGTCAGGAGTGGTATCAATCTCATGGAAAAAGGGAGGATTAGAGAAGGAAACATGCAAGGTTTTGCAACTGCATTTACAGGTGTACATCAAACAGATAAAGGAGAAATACACAGCTTCAGTTTATATCACTCGTGTTTCTCCCTCTAAAATAACAGTAACATCAGTAAAGCAGGCAGATAAAACAGAAAAAAAATCCTGTAAACAGAAGAAAATATGTAAACAGTTTAATTATAGAAATACTTGTCCACCTAATGTCACTTAACTGTTAACATTAAGTATTAAAACTTGTACCTTTATAAAGTACTACAGAGGAAAAGCAAATGTGTTTTATATGATGTTTTTGGTGTTATTGATCACTTTGGAGATGAAATTCCCACTTGAAGTTTACTGTAGAAAAGTAAAATTGATTTCCTCCTTCTGTTAAACAGAAGTAAAGCTATATTCCTCCAGCTCCAAGGGCATCAGCAGAACAGTTTCACCACTGTAGCTACATCTCTGTCAGTGTTCTGTTATAAACAAAGCTGACAAAGTTCATGAGAGGCTAACAGAGAGGCTCTTAGTCTAAAAGTACAGAAAGATTGAGTTCTTTTTAGTGATTTACGGGGGCGGGGGGGGGGGGGAGTTATTTGAAATGCCCTAATTCTATTGCATCTTTGGTTCTTTCTTCCTTAGGAAGCTTGCAGTGCATTATTTTTTAACGTGAACAAAGGTCCAAGGAAGCTGTACTGAAAAAATAAACAAGATATTTATGACAATAACACTGACAGATGTATATCTTCCTGGAACAAAGAACTAAAGAAAAAAACACTTCCAACGCACAGATTTCTGTAGCATCCATGGTAATTCAGTGTAACATGACATGTGATAGTTCTGAAGGAACTGTTTTCTTCCACTAGATCAGACTTCTTAGAGACTAACCTCTTCTTGAGAATCATAAAATGAGTAGTTTCACAAATACTGGATTTTTCAAAAAACAATTCACCAAAAGGCAAAACTTCCACACAAAGCAGTTACGGTCACATGTGAATGGAGGCAAAGTGCGTCATTAAAAGGAAGACATAATACAAGCCAGATTTCCTGCCTGACTTCCTCTGACCTCTGCTGGCAGAGCTATTTTTCTCTTGCAGTAAAAAGTGTGCCTAGAAATTGCTCTGCCCACTATGCAAGCTCCGTCAGGGGAACATAACTGACACGATACCCTTGTACAGCAGGAAAGACCACATCAGGTATGCTCATAAACATACGTACTTGAACATACTCTAATTGTAACAACTTACGAGGAGCCCAGCAACCCAGCATTATGTATTGCTTAAATCTTGCTTAATTACATTATTAATTTTTAATATAAAAAATCATGTCACAATTAAAATACTACAGAAAACAATGATCTTAAGTCTGATATGCTACTATATCCACACAACAGGTACACTGTGAATTTATTACACCTTAATACTACATTTCCTGACTTCCATCCACTTAACTAAGCTCTTTCCCATTATCCTAACATAACATCTAGCCAGAAAACCCATACCTGAATGGTTATTTTCTATTGAAAATAGTGATCACATAGTGACATAACAAAACAAATATTAGTTGTTCTTTAATACTCTTCCATTGGGTACTTGAGTACAGACAAGTTTGAGATTACTGTGTTGGAACCTATTTTTGTGTGACAGCCGCAGTGCAGATACTTGTCGATACACTGGCGCTGAATGCTAATGAGTACTACAGTCTGGGAACAATTGCCAGCTACGTCACTTACCACTAGAATTAACAAAAAGGCATTAATTCTCTTATCATGTGCTTTGTACTTCCTGTTGGAAAGGCTAGAAACCACTAGGAAATATTAGGAGGGATAAGAGAATTACAGACCAATAAAAGTTTCAAGGGTTAAGGATCAAAACAGTTCGAAAAGTCACATAAGGAACTTATTACTCTTCTTCATATATAAAAATTTAATACTGTTCAAAAGAGATCTTGATTACTTGGATCAAAACTGAATTGAGGACAGGTTATGAATAAAATGCATTAAGAGATGTAATGCATGATAGAGGCAGGACACAAAACATACATTCGCCTTAGTTTGTATATTCAGCTATATCACTTGCTAATATTCTCACAGAATGACTTTCTAATAAAAGAAGTATTTTCAGTATTAGCGTATATTCTTTATTTTAGTATATTTAGTTAATTCTCATCAAACAACTTTCTACAAACATTTTTAGCTATTAAAAAGTCATTTAAGGTGTATATGCTACACGGTAATTTTGATAATTTAAAATCCATAGAACAGATGCAAAGTAGGTACTTCTCTGATGCTAACTGAACAGTATGATCAAATAGTATTTCCTCCAAATAAAAGCACCTTTTTCTTTTTCTCCACATAATGATCATCAGGGTATACTCATAATTAAAACACAACAAAACACCCACAAACAGTGGGAAAGACAACACAGATGAAAAAGATTAAAAATACTTTAAAAAAAGATCTGTGCATTAAACATTTTCAATACCTTCTAATTAAAATAAACAAAATGCTAAAAGTAAGAGAGAAAATAAAGGCTTAGCAGAATGTTCATAAAAATATCCTAGCTGTTGGCAAAGATTTTATCTTTGTCATTTAATGATGATGAAGCCAAATAACTTGCTGGAATGGAAGCAGGCTGAGGTATAAGGCTTTCAAATTGAAGTGAGGGATATCGCAATTTATATTTTTCTTAGTAGCAGCTCTATGTGTACAATTTCTAAATTTCATTACTTTCTGTAATAGATGTCCCTTTCAACAGATAGTAATGTGTTGATCACAGATACATTGCTCTAATATGCTTGCATTCTGTTGTACGTTGAAATGTTTCTTCATACAGCCAGCAAGCTCTACACAGTTCACAAAACATCCGAAGATCAGTAATTAATAACAATGTTAACTTCCAGGGGAAATCAGCTTTTTGTAAAGAAAACTTCTCTGGTATTTAACAGAATTTGTGCAAGACTGATAGAAGCACTGAGCTAACTTAAATAAACAGACTATGCCCTAAAAAATGTTAGCACATATTATTTGAACACAAAGAACATTAACGGTACATTAAAAAATAAATTAGATACTTATAAAGCATGACTCAGTACTACTAAGCTTGGTATGAAGTAACTTTAAAAACTTTCATAGGGAAGGCAAAAAGATACATACTATGATCATTTGTGGACATAATGAACTGGATATATTTTTTTCCAGTTAAAAGAGAAATAAATGAGTGCAATTAAAATACTGCTAAAAGAATATATTAGCTTATGCGTTTAAAAATAAGACACGAATTCAACTTACTTAGATGTGCTTAGCATGTTTTTAAAGATAATTCTTTTTTTTTACATATGCTATTTAAAGAATCCCCCTATACTACTGTCCATAAGCATGTTTCAAAATTCTTAAACTAAATAAACAAAAGAGGTCAGTCTGCCATTTCTATCTTGATGATATCAAGGTAATTAACCATGATTTTAGGGATATTTAATTTCTAAATGATCCAGGAAGTAAATACGTGTGTGCATATATACGTAAACATACATATACCAAGAGTTACCCTATCTACAAACATACCAGCATGTATCCTTGCTATTTATTAATCGAATCAAACAAAAAACCCCACTATTTTTACATGGCATTTTGCTTTCATCAGAGATTTGTAAAAGACAACGAAACAAATCAAAAGAAAAAAGTTTCCATTTAATTTACCAATTTCTAACAAGAGTTAGATATCTATGGTTATGGGTGTATATATGTGAATGAACGAATAAATCCTTAACCCACCATATCCTTTTCTCCAGTCTGCAAGCTGTCACCCGTGAAAAGTATGGTGTAGATGGTAGGATGATACTGTACCTGATTGGCTCTGGAGGTGGTCATGGGATCAGATGGAGAGGACTTGGTGGTAGTTGGGGAAGATGGCAATGTCTGGGAACAAAGCAGTTCAGGAGCAAATCAACCTTTACAAGCCTTAGACTGAACAGTTAAAAAAATAAATAAACCAACAAAAGTAACATAACTAGAAAATTAAAATAAATAAAAAATGCCTAAGACAAAAATCTTTCTCCTACTCATTGGAACTTAATGGAATTTAAAGTCAACTGGATAAATAATGCATGTAAATATGCATGCTTATGCATGTAAAAACAAATTCATGACTTGAAATCAAGATGGTGTACTCACATAAATACTCAAAAATATGCTGACCACATGAGGAATTCTTTCTCCTCCTCTTGGGGAAAATGAAGACTATAGTAAACTAAAATTCCAGCAAGTTCAATGAGTGCACTAGAAACAGTTATCAGCCTACAAAGAAGGCCAATGTCTGAAAGAAGTTAGAAACATTTACTATGGCACCTTATAACGCACCATTGTATAGCACAGACTATAGCCAGCAAACTGCATTCTATATCTTACAAAAATTACACTGAAGCTATGGAGTTTTTAGCAACATACTAACTGCTAAAATATTTTTAATCAAGAAACAGGTGAAAAAATGTAAACATCAATCTCATGATGGATGAACATGCAACTAACACCTTCACAATAAATTACTATAATATATTCATGATTAGAGTTAAAACTGTTCATTTAGTTGAGCAAAGGTTAATAATTTATCATCAGGGCTGTGTTCAAAATAAACACAAAAAAGAATTAAGAGTCATATTTATTGATCAACTTTTCTAAATAATATACATACGCTTAACATTGATTCTTGAACATATCAAAAAGCACTGCTCTGTTTAAAAACTTTATGTACATTTCTCTTAAAGTATTAGATCTTGACAGAATAATTCTTTTTATAAATGTAGTGAAAATGTAAAACTCCAGTTTTCAAAACATAACATACAATACTTATTCAAAGCATGTTTTTTGACATAAATAAATTGTTATAAATTGTTATAAAATACCAAAAATTACACTACTTTAAGAAATAAGATGTTAAAATGCTATACAATGTAATTTATCATATGGTCATATAATTACTAACCAACACTATTTAGAAATAAATGAAGCAAAATTTCACATTTTCAGCAATTCTGTTACTTACAATCATTGATAGTCCCTCATAAAATAGGTATACATACTTTTGCACTAAAACTCTTAATGCATATGAGAACGTTGGGACACTGTGAATGCATAAAGTTGTGTATTAGCAAAATATGGGCTTGTACATATGCACACACAAATACTTTAGCTGTATGTTAAGCAATATGAAGATCCATTTTTTTTTCATAGTTTGTACATAAACAAGCAGCCAAAACAGGAAAAAAAAAAAACTTAAGAAACTGATCCTTATTTTGTGTTTCCAACTTGTAACTCATGCTATAAAACAATAAAAACAAAAACAGAATATATACAGCTTAAGCATTAACTGAGACTCTTTCAATAGGCTTAAATAAAAAATACTACCATTTATAGGGTATTATAAAAAACATGTAGCTTGGCAAAATTTTACTGGTCAGCAGATGGTATTCATTGTGAAAAATCAAGACAATTATAAAAGACTTTTCTATGTCTTCCTTTGCAGAACATGGGTTCATTTGGAATGATCTAGAATTAGTTAGAAAAAGCTGTCAGATTCCATGATAGTACTATTCGATTATAGAATTATACTTCTGATTCCAATGGGATGATGCATTACCTCTCTCACCAAAGTCTGAAATTGCAATGGACTGATTTTTATCATTTAAGCTTAAACTAACAGGTGGAAGAAGGGAATCTGCAACCAAACAGAATGGAGAACTGCAACTTATTCTGATAGGTTTTATTTATTATGGCTATATATTAAACTTTTCTCCTGAACAAAACAAAACTCCAAGCAAACAAAAAATTATTGTTCTCTAGCAAATCTCTGAAAATATGTTTTGACTAAAATACTTCAGACATCTGATAGTTTGTGTGATCAACACCACTGACAACTAGAGCATACTGTGTTCTGTATTGTTTTGGTATGCTTGTTTTGGTATGCTAAGATAATTAATAAGAGGAAAAATATTTTTTTTTTTCCACAGGTTTTACTATATCTAACTAGTGCATTTATAAGAAAATACACAGAACTCTTCAACACTGAACAAAGACCTAATCACTGATACCACAAGCAATTTAAGAAACTGGAAGCATCACAATTTTCAATTCATATCAATCTTCCTAAAGTACAGATACGTATGTCTGCAATGAAAAAGGAGTCACAATAATAATTTCAGGTGACTGTTGAACTATAACAGCTATTAAGTAGAAGCACTGCACTATTCCATTTGTGCAAAAGCTTGTTTAAAATACAGTGGAAAAAGGACAAAAACATTTAAAAGCAAATCAACTGTATTAACAAAGAAGAATCAAGTACGGGCATACACATTTTTTTCCAAATATACATACCATTGAAAATATACTAAAAATAGCAATAAGGTCTTTCGGTTTGTGCTTGTCGTGTTTTTTTTCCTTTGTATATCAGGTTGTTTATTTTGAGGTTCAATCTCTCTCATTTGCTTACATAACTGCTTTCAGTTTTTAATATATGTGTATACATATATATAAAAGAATAAATATATAAAACCAGACAATTTGTAAAAATCCTTTTCCATGCTTCTGCATAGTTACAGACACACACCTATTTATTTCTTGACTACTAAAGTAACACAAAGTAATTTCTCAAAAATAAAACAAAGAAATACAGGAATATAACATTTGCATTTTGTACTGGATGTCCACTGCCTGATATGTAATTTATTAATATACTCTCAATTACACTGTAAGAACTTTTAGGCAAAATTACTTCTTAAAGTTGGACAGAGCTCAATAATCCTGACTTATTAAGCTGCAAAGAATAATTTTGTTTTTAAATTTGGCAAGTGTTTTGCATTAGGCAAGCACTTGAATTTAGTAGTTATTAGGCTTCTGGGAATGAGATGTATAAAGTTATTAGAAATCATGAGATGAATTTACAATACAGACTTTGAGACTGAAACATACATACTATAATTGAAGCTTTCCTGAAATTGCCAGTTGACTGATGACAAGGTTATAGAAAAAAAAAAACCTTGTCAAAATTTCTACTACAAACCACTTCAAGACTCACAGGGGAGAGTGGGTAAGCTATATTTTGAATAGTATATTCCAAGCAGTGATGAAACTGGTCTCCTCTATTATATTATTTCCTTTCCTATTACTTTCCTATTAGGACAATGAATGGGAGATTATATTTGCAAGTAAGAGAGCACTTCTTGTTTTAACTTAAGCTTCTAAACCAGATGTTTGAGGAAACAGATTTTAAGTAACAAAAAAGGAGATTGGTTTTAGAAATAAAAATCTGTTTGAGCCACATTTACGTTCTAGTATTTTCTGAAAGTCCAAGAAAATATTTCTTCCTTGTGTTGCTCACAAGAATTGATTGTACTGTGAGAGACTGCTCCCAGGCTGCACAACATCCTACAATGTGCAGAAAGACGGTCAAAGCATCACACTTCCATGCTTCATATTTTTGAGTAACAGAGTGAAGATACAGCTCTATGACGGCAGTATAGAATACATATACTCCATCTGGACAGTGTTCCGAAAGGTCTCTGACCTATTTTAATGACTTCTTGAACTGCTTAATGCAGATCTCTGTATAAATGACAAATGTCACTCCTTCATATTACTAAAATATTTCAATAATTCCATCTTAGATAATAAATGCTGTACTGAGAGAGTTAACATCTCTCAGTACCTATTAGTCCATTTATGTATAGAATAGTAGAAAGAAAAGGCATAAAATGAAATACCATTTGAAAACAGGAATAGCGACATGAAAGCATATAAAGAACACCATTTAAATGTGAAGATGAAACTGCATTTACAGCTTACCAATTTCTAGTTTCTCACTACAGTGCTTGCCAAACGAAGGAAATCTTCGTAATGACAATACCCACGTTAAATACTATTAGTACTAAGCTAATACTGAGTTTCAGTCTTGCATATGTTAATATTGGTGCTTTAAGTCACAGAAATTAATGTGATGACAAAACTAATTTGCTTAAGCCGAGATTTTAATGCACTTTAAGAAAAGGTGGTATCTTCTTTGAATTGTATTAAATAGTTGAATACCTTCTGCAGCTAAAATGCGAAACAGAGAGAACTGCAAGGCCCGACTGTGCTGAATAAATTATAAAAGACTGATTTACTAGACTTCCAACAAGTATCAGAGATGAACCTTTCTAAACAGACCACTTGCTTTGCTAAACATATTAAATCTTCTTTTCATCTGCTGTAAACTCCTTTAATCAGTAAATGATCCTAATCTTGGGGTGACTGCATAAATACATAACACATTTCAAAAATAAAATTTCGAAAAATACATAACCAAGGATTAGTAAGTTTTTCACAACCTGGACTGTAAAAATGCTACTTCATGACTTCAGGGATCAAATTTCACTTACTATCTTTTAATTTCTATAAAGAACAAATAAAATGCATTCTGATATTTTATCCACTTTACATTTGGCTTTGCTTTTGCATAAAATAATATACAGAGCATAGAGCAATACAAAAAGACTAAGAAAGCTAGAATAAATAGCTGGAATGCTTATAGGTATTTATAGAGGTAATTTATCTGCATTCATGAACTCTGGGAACTTGCCTTTGAAAAAAGAAAAGAAGTGTGGGAAGTGTCATGTAAAAAAAATAGATTATCTCGTGTTCTGTCTGGGGACAAGAAGGGGTAAGGAGCTTAAAAGCAAACCAGCAGGTGCCATTTGGATCATCAGAGCAACTCTGGATGGAGGGAATGATTTAGGATGAAGACTACTATAAAATGGATAATGAAGAATCAAGACCTTCCCTTTCCTCAAAACTTGTGACAGTAACACAGAACTACTATACAAGATCTGGTTCTTTTACAGAGAAATACCAGAAAACTCAAGTAAGTAAACAGACACAGGCATCAAAAC